CCGCCGTTCCCGGCTCCGTGGTCCCGAAGGCGAGGGGAGGGGGCCGGGGTGCTGGGGAAGTCGCCATGATAGCAACAATGAACACGTTAATGAGGAACTGTATGTAAATTCTTTTTTACTCCAATTAACAAAAGGAGCCCTTGGCTTTTTCATGCAAAGGGCCCTCTGGTTCCAATCAAACGCCTGGTCCTGCTTATTAACAACCCGCCTCGGCTCCCTGGCGGGGGCTGGCTTCGCCCTTCCAGCACCCTCTGCCCCTGCACGGGGCTATGGGACCCCCAGCTCTCCGTGCCAGGCTCTGCTGCCCAGGGCTGCCCCAAACCCCTCCGACCACCCCGTGGCCACGGCCAGGACAGGACGGTGCTTGGAGGTGGCGCTGCCTTGTAGAAGGAAGCATCCTCTGCAGGTTGGATGCCAGTTCTGGGTACCACTGACCTGCTGGATGGGGATTTTGGGGCTGGGGGGAGGGTTACTGGGTATAAGCAAGCAGCAGCATGAGCTGGATGAGGGGAGGGGACCCCAAGCCCACCCATGTGCCCAAATGCCTGGGTTGTAAAGGGGGCTCCCACTACAGATGTGGGGGGCCCTACAGGGCCCCCTCCCATAGGTGCCAGTGCCAGGGAGGGGGCAGCAGCGCTGTGGGGTCGCTGGCAACGAGGGTGGCCGTGCAGGCGGGCGGCTGGGCTGCCTCCCACCCGCGGGCCATGCCTCGGCAACCTTCCCCATAATTATGGCATCCGCTGCAAAATTACAGAGCAGGGCAGGAGCCTCCCTGCCCCCTTCCTGGCCACCCTGCCTGAGCTGCCCCCACCACCACAGCTCCCCAAATCCTCCTGGCAGAGCACACATGGCCTCTTCCCTCAGAGCCCAGGGCTGCAGCTGGTTTGCCCTTGCCCCCATGGGACCATCTTGTGCCATTGACTGCCCCAGTGGGTGCTGGCATCGCAGCACCCCCAGCCTGGCACCGAGGACTGAGGGCTGAGGGGAAGGGTTTGCTCCTGCTTGCAGCCCAGGTGGCCCCCAGGCAGAGCGCTGACCACTAGCCCCCATTGCCCCAACCCCTTTGCAGGGGGGTGGCATTGCCCCTGCCCAGGAAGGGGCTTGGGCCAAGCTCACCCCACACCTCCCTCATGGTCACTTGGCCTCAAGTTCCTCCCCAACATCCCACCCTGGGTCAGGGGGGCGAGCACCCCTGAGACTCAGCACAGAGGATTTGAGGATGGAGGAACCAGTGTTAGGTCACATCGGACACCCAGGTGGGGGGGATGGCTAGGCTTAGCTGCCCCCAGCATGCTGCTCATCCCCCCAGAAAACAGCCACAGCAGCAAGGCATCCTGCCATGCTTACCCAGGACAACAGGTGGCCCTGTCCCCGTGCAGCCCCAAGGTGCCCATGGGTTGGGGCAGCATGCCCAGGCAGCACCACGAGGGCAGTGGATCGGGACAGGCTGCCACCCCCACACTGAGCTCTTCTCCACCACAAGCAAAGCCAAAGGGGCTGCAGGCAAGCGCAGGGGGCTTCCTGCCTGGCTCTGTGGGAGATGCCGCAAGGGAAGAAACGAGAAAGAAACGTCCTGCTGCGGGGAAGGGCCTGCGGCCCCTGGCGAGGATGAAGGCCATGGTCAATGCTGGTGCCACTGCTCAGCAGCGCCCAAGATGCCCATCTGCTAGGAGCTGTCACCGCTCAAGTGGCCCAGCCTTGACGGAGTAGCTAGGAGCCAGGGTGCAGAGGGCCAGGACGCCTGGGTTCACCTCCCCGCTCGACCTCAAACCCAGGCCCGGCCTCCCGCCTCCCTGGATGGGACTCCAGGATGCGGTGACAAACACGCCGAGTCCTGGACCGGGGTGGCGCACGGGTCTGCCAGCACGTCCGACACAGGGTCAACGGGGAGCTGGCTCAGCCCCGGGGGGTCACAGGGTCTCTCCAGGGAACAGCCCCCTCTCCACCCCACAACACCCCGCCACAACCCGCCGAGGCTGGGCAGCCCCGAGACCCGCACCTGAG